TTTTTTTTTTTTTCATTTTTATTTTTATTTTTACTGCCACCGCCGATGCAGTTCGACTGCTCAGTCGAGACGATATTTACGTGATTCAAATTTGTGAAACGATTATAAACAGAAATTAGTAACGCGCGATATTGCACGTTCTGACAAGTACTTTCTGTTTTTTTTTTTTTTTTTTTTTTATCTCGGGAGTATTTATTTGTTTAGTATCGTATTTATTTTGATTTCACTGGGGAGAGCAGTCAATCTGTTGCCAAAGATTTATCAGTCGATTTTGAATGATCAGGGGCTCTTATGTTACGAATATACTTAATATGTTAATTTTTTTTCTCTTTTTTTTTTTTCTAGATTGACTCTAGCAAATGTCTTCGAGCAACGCGTGCTTCACAAACTTTGTGCGATTTGTTTGTTTGATTTAACGTCTACAAAATGCGATATAATTTCTTACATATTTGCCACACATGTAAACGGAGAATCCACTGTTTTCGCAGTGAAAAATGCTGGTATATTTGTTGAAACGAGGCCACTCATCTAGTCGAGCTGACACTAATAAAACAAGCTTCTATTATTTTTTTCTTAGTGGAGGTAGTTGACAACGAATGTAGGAATAGGTCAAATTTGATTGTTTGAAAAATCAGAGTCATCTCAGCCAAAGTGAACACGTCAGGTTGGTCGGGAAAATAACTGTTTAACTTTTTATGTTTTCTAACTTCTCCTCATACTTTTTCTTTTTTGCAGATTCCTGCGTTTATCGTGCTCGTGTCACGTGTAATTTTGGAATCAATCACTCCTGTTTCAGAGATCTTAAATTAAGCTCTATTCCTTGCCATTGGAATGATAAAATTAGATCAAAAGCAAATTGGAGCAATTGTTCTTTACAAATTGAATTCAGAACTCCAAAGGTGGGAAAGCAAAGCAGCAGAAGGTCAAACAATGCATTGTTAAGACAATGATGGTTCGACAAATTTCCAGAGCTCAAGTTGCACCTGAAAAGAAATTATGGTGGCTTGATTTGGTGGTGTGAAGCCATCATAGCACTGACTTACAGTCAGGAATTTGAAAGAATGCACGAAAAACTCCTAATCAACAGGACGTTGCAGCAATTAAGAATTCTTTAAGAATTGAACGAAGTTGGGATACTTCACTTCATTCGCCAATACTCACCAGATCTTTCTCCAACTTTCAGATTTTCACTTTCTTTTTTTTTTTTTAAGCGTTCAGAAAAATTCCTTAAAGGATGATGCTCTTTAGAAGACTCCTTATCGACTCCAGGCACTCCAGTTCTATGTTACTGGGATAAAGACAAGCTTGCAACTTGTTGACTGAAGCAAATGATTGGTAAAAAGTTTTGAAAGCTGAGATACATGCATTTGAGATTGAGCGATAGAAGAGAATATGTATGTAATATATGGAAATCAGGACACTCGAATTATATAAATCTTCGGCAAGAGACAAGTTTTTATATACAGGAACAACCTTGTACTTGTTATATTTCCAATAACAAGCAATTTTGAGAAATGGGAAGTTCCGAGAACGACGCTCGATCCCGGACCTGTAAAGTATCGGTATCAAAGAGAAAAAAAGGAAAAAAAAAAAAAAAAAGTGGTGATTAGCAAAATTTTATTTCGCTAATAACCGAAGGTGCAACGATTGAAGGCAACCACGTTGAACAAATGAAGGATCGACCGATGGTGTTTTCTGTTTAACAGAAGAGGCAAGCAGTCTTCGTTACGTGGTTTGGTGGTTTCTCGCGGCACCGATATCGCGACTTTTCCCTCCACGAAATTACTAGGACAAATATCCAGCCAGGGCTGAATGGTTACTTTAGCCAGCCAAAACCTGGCGCGATAGCAAACAAGAAACGGTCCTGCTCAAATATCTACTCGCGATACACGCCGGCCAGTCGTAACGTAACTTGCTGTTGATTTTTGTCATTTGACTCGAAATGGTCAGTCAGACTGTCTCTCCGTTAACT